GGGCCCGGCCCCGGGGAGCCCGCGGGACGAGCCGCCCGGCCCCGGAGGAGGAGGAGGAGGAGGAGAAGGGGGGGGTCGTTAACGGCGCCCGGGGAGCCGCCCTGGCGGGGGCGGTCGGGCCCTCCCGCGCAGGGAGCGTTTCCAGTGCCCCGAGGCTTGGGGGCTGCTCGGGCCGCGCGTCGCTGACACGCGGTTACTCCGGCTCAGGATGCGGCACACCGACAAATCCCTTTTTTCCCCCTTTTTTTTTTCTTCAGATGTAGGATTAGAGAGTCTATTTTAGACTCACAAATATGGCCGAGTTTATTAGCGTGGCGCCCTGTTAAAGCTCTCTTTGTGCCTGAAAGGAAACGGCAGTGTAGGAGCAACGTAGGAACAATATTTGTCTGTCCAAAATAATAGCAGCGGAAGAAGTGTAGCGGTTTCCAAACGTGATCGTTTCTGCCCTTGTTTTGCTTTTACAGGTGGAATTACTTCTTCCTCTATGATGGTTCAAAGGTTAAGGAAGAGGGAGATCCCACAAGTGCTGGTATTTGTTATTTTTATCCTTCTCAGGTAATTCCTGCTTTTATTTTAGTGCCTGTATTGCCTGTACTGGTAATCCCTTCGATGATCCCAGGTTGTGCCTGGGATAACGATGTGTTCTCAAAAGCTTTAAAAGCCAGAACTAGGTGGAATGATGCTCCAGCGCGCAGGGTGCCCGCGAGCACCCCGCTTTCCCATGCGGGACATGGCTGTGTTGCACTGCTCCCTCGCCTGGATTCCTGTCCATGGAATCACCCTGCAGGGTCCAGCTCTGTGAATAGACCCCAGCAATGACGGAGTGCTCCACGTGAGCCCTGGGCCCTTGCCCAGGTGAAGAATTAGCAGTCCAGTTATTTTTTCCACACAAGTTTCCTATGCTGCTGCATTTGATTTATAATTGAAATGTTTTTGTAATCATTTTTTAAGTGAGTGCGGTAGTGATATTTTTCATGTCCTTAAAAAAAAAAAAAAAAAGACCTTTTCTCCCCTGTTGTCTTCAACAGACTCTCCCCGACCAGCAGGAGCTGCTGTGTGGACAGATTGCAGGAGTGGTGCGTTGTATGACTGAGATTTCTGGAGTTCCTCCCAGGCTCATTCGGCTGAGAAAGCTCAAGTTTGCAGTTATAGTGGATGGAGACTATTTGTGGGTGAGTTCAAGAGATCCGGAGGCGGTGGAAGAACCAAAACAATGAGAAATCCCAACTATTATCAAACTAAGAGGGCTTTTTTTTTCAGGGTATGGGCCTGCACACAAATAGACCTGGGGAGAGCTAGGGTGTGAACTTGCAATGCACAACTTTTCATTGCAAGGTAACTTAAATTTTGTTTACCACAGTGTACAAGCGTGTGTAGTGGCAGTTACTTCAGCTGTTCTGTGAAAAATAGCGTGGTGTCCCTCATTTATGTGTCCACACCACACACATTTTCTTAAAATGTACCTGGCAATGGCTACAAAAAGTTGAGATCTGTGTAACTATATATGTCTCTGTAGGCTCTTGGCAATGACTGGAAACAAGTCTGTACCAAAGTTTAAAGCAAGGACTCAGACTCTAGTTTTGTAGTCTGACTGCTCTTCCCTTCTCACCCTCAGTATCCCCTCCTGCAGACTTTCTCAGTGTTAATAAATACTTAGCCTTTAAATCAGTGTGCAGCATAGTCCTGACAAAAATACCCCAGACCATCCCCTGGAAACTGGATTAAGAACTGTAAGACCTCTGTCGTTGGTGGGGCTGTTTGGACTCGCTTAGTTCCCAGAGCAGAAGGCTCTTGCACTTCTGTTTCTTCCTGGCAGCTCAAAAGCTAAAAGAGGCATCATCGTCTCTGTAATGCCAGGTGAATTTGAGTACTTACTTTCAGGAAAATGCCCTTAGCTACTAGAGCAATTCTGAATTTCCAGTATCATTCATTTTTCTTATTTGTGACAAAGCTCTTCTGTGGGTATTTTTGGATTTACTCTTTTGTCATATTTGTGAATGTGGGTGACATTTGCCTGCCATAGAACTGTGTGTTTGTCCTTTAATACTCAGTTTGAAAGCAATAAGAATTGTTCTCACCTGCTGGCCCTGGGTTGTGTCTATGAACGTTCTTCATCCTTGGCTTTCTGTGTTAAAGGTTCTGGGCTGTGCTGTTGAGCTCCCTGATGTCAGCTGTAGACGGTTCCTGGAGCAGCTCATCAGCCTCTTCAGGTTTTACAATGGACCCGTGCACCACGCTTACACGGTAAGTAAGGAGCAACATTGTGATGCTTCAGGCTCGGAAGAGATCTTGTCACCACCCATATTGGCCAAGCTTTGTCCAGGAGCACACGCGCTGCCTTGTTGCCTTGCACTGTCTTCCTACTTGCAAGGGTCAGAGCAAGCTCACACTTCAAAAACTGGGACCAGGCCCATGCTCCTGTTGCACTGAGACACTGCAGTCATTTGCTGTCCCACCCTGTGCTGCTGTTCTCAACATGAAGTGATGAAGTTCTCCTGGTCCACCCTTCGGCTGGCAAATCCCATAACACAGGAGTTTCTGAGATGTTCAGTCTGAAGGTGTTCTGTGTCCTCTTTCTCCTTATCCTTATATGAGCTTCCACTTACAATTAATGTCCCACATTGATTGTGTCTAATCATCCTGAATGCATTAGAGGCTGTGGTGTGACAACCATATGGATTTTTCTTGTCCCTAGGCATTTTCTCAGGAAGAGCTGAGCAAGCAGTGGGACAAGTATATCGAGCATATCCAAAAAAACACAAATGACCTCCACAAGATTTTCAATTCTCTTTGGAATCTGGACAAAACCAAGGTAAAAGCCTATCCTCTGTTTCATCTACCTCTAGGCCTGCCTTAGGGCTAGAGTTTTTGTTTCTCTTTGCTGCTTGGAGCTTTTCCAAGGACTCTCTGGCTCAACTTCTGTTTCTCCTTCCCCAGGTGGATCCGCTGCTCTTACTGAAAGCAGCTCTCATCTTGCAAACCTGCCAGCGGTGCGCCCATGTCTTGGCAGGCTGCGTTCTCTACAGGGGCTTGTAAGTGACCAGGCGTTACGCAGAGGGTCACAGAGGGCTGTGGTCCCAGAGAGCCTATGAGGGGGGGAGCAGAGCAAGGCAAGCAATGCTGCTGCCCAGGCCTGTCCCGAGTGATGATAGTCTACAGCTGAGCTTGAAGAAACGATACCGTGCTCATGGATGACTTGATTTTATTCTTTCAGGATTGTGAGTACCCAGCTGCCACCTCCTCTTACTGCCAAAGTTCTCCTCCAGGGCAGTGAATCTTCAGGCCAGGTACGGTGCTGAACGAATGCACTGCATGCAGAAACTCACTGTGCGGGGAGTTCTTCACATGTACATCTTACACATGCTGTTGCCAAGAACAAATGTTGTTGCTGACACTAGAAGTTTTTATGAGCTCAGATTCAGTAAGGTTTCAGGACTTCTGCAGTAGGAATTTGCTCTTTTTCCCCCAGTAATTCAACTGCTGACTTCAGAAATTCTTTGTTTGATTAGCTTCTTACTCAGATTTGGATATTTAGTAGTAAATGTTTGTAACAAATATCTAAAAGTGACCAACAGAATGGATCAGTTTTCATTTCCATTAAAAGTGTTTTCAAAAAAAAAAAAAAAAAAAAAAGTATTCACATGATTTGAGACCTAGCCAAAAAATAAAAAGGCTGTTAAGATCTCAACATAAAAGTCTTGACTCTGGCCGAGAGGAGACTGGTCTAAACTTCTGTGCCATGAGTAGACAGTAGTGGCAGATTGTGATATTTGTCCTTGAATTGAGCTGTGCTGGGAAAAGCCCCCTTGAGTCTGAGGGCTGCATAGAGAACAAATCATGGTGCGACACGCTGGAGTGATCCAGCGTTTTCTCCTGGGTCTGGTGTCCCTGGTGTCTGGTGAACTCCCGTTGTTCTCTATGTAGGCAGGGGGAGGTGTCGTGATAGCATCAGTGGCAAGTGTTGAGTCATGCTGCAAAGCTGATTCTTGGCTTTTCTTTCAGAGCGAGCCTGGAGGTGAGGAGCAGCGGGAGCCTGGTGAGCATCTAGCTGCAGAGTGCTGATTGCCAAGAGCACAGCAGCAGAGTGTGGGCAGCTGTCTGGGGCTGACTTCTCTGCAGTGAGAGATTCTGGGACTGCTGTTGAATCTGTTGCTGAATGTGAAAATATATTGCTGAGGGATGGCTGCCTCTAGCCAAGGAGTGCCAGGGGGTGTTGTGTTAGCCACAACTAGTCCTTCGAGCAAAGGAGTGTGTTTTTTGGGGTTTAATTAGGAGTTTGCAGATTATCAGCACACCTATTTTAACTCTACTTCCCCATGTGTCTGCCTGGCCACTGATGACACCGAGACAGTAGGTCACTGATGGTTTCAGTCCAAATCTTCACTTGACATTTTTTAGCATCACTTCACTTTAAAGGTTTGCTGACAAGATAGGGGAAAAAAAAAACCAACAAAAAAAAGCAAACAAACAAACCAAGAAAAAGAGGGGGGGAAAGTTTAACTGTGTCAGATGTTAAGTGGATGGAAAAATGCTGCCTAGTCAGATTTTGTCAGTTCCCAGAATGACCCAGGGTACAGAATGAGAGTGTCTTCACACAGGAGCCTTTGCACTGATGGAATTTGGCTTCTGTTTGTTGTGTGGGAACATGTTAATTTAATTCCTCCAACCTCCATTGCTCTTCCAGATTCTCCATTGCCGCGGGGAGTTCGTATCATTACGGTTTTCCTAACAGAAGATGAAGTCTCGGTGCTCCGAGACTTTCCAGTAGAGTGGATGACTAGGTAGGAAATGAATTTGAGACATGAAGAAGCCTTTGCAGAAAGTGATCTAACATGTAGCAGTGAGTCCTCAATAGCTGTTGTTAATTGCTTGCTCTGACGCTAATTCACACTCTATTGCTTGGCTGTTAAGGCTGCCTGGGGCCTTTGAGGATGGACAAGACTTGTGGTATCTACTGTTGTGAAGCAGCCTAAAGCAAAACTGTGTCTCAAGACCAACTGTGCTCTTCTGTTGCTTCTCAGTTCGTTGTGTTCTGCTTAAAACCCTTGTGCTTTGTGAATAAGGGAGCAGCATTCCAGGGGCCTGCAATGCATGAGGCTCAGGCTTTTCAGCTGGGTCAGAACTCAGCCTGCGCTTTGCTGAGATACTTGTACTTTGTAGCAGTGTTACTAGTAACTCCAAAGAGGAGCTAATCAGTAGTCTAATCAACTTTTCATCTCCTTCTAGGTCATCCATGTCCCCAGCAAGTCCTAGAGGAGACAAGGACACTCTCCACTCCCAGGTAACTTCAGAATCATCAGGGGTTCCTGAATACCAAGATGTGAATAGTGGCTCTGTCCAGGAGTCCCTTGAGCAGGCTCCAAGCACAGCTGCAGCAGCAGATGTGACGCAGGCAGGCAGCCTTGCAAGCACAGGCGCTGCGAAGGGCTTCCCCGAACCAGAAGCCAGCACAAGGAATTCCCCAACTGCAGAATGGCAGTACCCGGGCAGCAAAAGCCCAGAGCTGAGAAGAGCATCCTTCTCATCAGAGACACACCTGGAAGAACTGCCAAGCACTTCCAAACTCCAAAATGCCGAGTGTGCTCAGACTACAGGTCTATCCCTGGAAGGCTTTTTCTTTCCAAACCCGTATGTCCAGGAGAGTCAGAGCATGGGGGAATCCGTTGTGGACTTTGCTGTTAAAGAGCACAGTTTCCAAAGGCATCCTGCAGCCAGTGGCAGTCCGTCTGTTTGCTCTCCTGTTCAAGAACCAAGCAGGAGGAAGTCAAGTGAACAAGACCAGCAAGGAACTGTCAGCCAAAACAGTATCCCTGGAAAGAGCAGTAGTGAAACTGGTAGTAATGTCTGGGATTTGAATCATCCAACCACTGTTGCACAACCAGAGCACAAAAGCAGGACTTCAGTGCCTGCTGCAGATGCCCAGGAGACTCGACCCAGGGACACAGCAGAGACCACAGGCTGCCCCAGCAGCGGGGAGAGTGACCCAGCTCTTCAGGTGGACAGCCTGGCAGCTCAGGGCAGTGTTGATTCAGGCAGACAGTGCAAACCAGTTAGGATGAGCTTGTATGTTCACTGCATTAAGGGACTAGTTCTCTCCCTGCTGGCTGAGGATCAGCTCAGAGAGGACCAGAGCTCCATTGAAGATGTGGTAAGCGGGAACATCTTCCAAATCTGTAGCTACTTCTCTGCTGCTTGTCTTGTGGTGGCGGCCTGCGACAGGACTTAGAAGTGAGAAGTGAGCGTTGAAGCTTCGTTCCCATCTCTTTCTTTGCCTGCTTTGCAGTGTGAAAGGCAAAGCCATTTGGCTTAGGGGTAGCCCCTGCAACAAAAGATATCCTGGAAGTTGTTAGGAAATATAAGGCAGCAAGCCTCAGAGGTGAGAGCCTTATTACAGATAACTCCCACAGCCTGTCTGTTAGTGCCAGTACTAAGGAGTACTCTTGAGCAGAATGTGTTGATGTGACCCTGAGACAGCCCCACCGGTTGCCAAAGGCCTGTGTTGTATTGGGGATTTGTAGGGAAACCCTGTCAGCTTTATAGTGGCATTCAGAAAACAAGGTTTGTTGTGTGTTGCTTAACCTGCATGTTGTGTGTCACAGCTTCTCACTCTGGAGGCATTGGTGAGATGTGTGTCTGGCAGCAAGCTGCACAAGTGTTTCCTTTCCGAATGCCCGTCTGGCTCCCTGCATCCTTAGCCTGCTGCTCCCTGGCGGTGCCCCCCAGGGGAGCTGTGCTGGGCACAAAGTGCCATTTGGGTGCCTCGTGCACGTGATGGACCAGGACAACCCAACAGGACTCTGGCTGCTTTCTGTACGCAGCCCGATGGTGCATCCGAGAGGCAGCAGCCTGCAGAGCTGACGCTGGCCTCTGCCTCCCTCAGCCGGAGCTGAGTCAAAGCTGCAGAGCCCCTTTGATGTGCCAGTTGCCATGGGAACAACCTCATTTCTTTATCTGTCAGGCTGGAAGGTGGAGGGAAGCTCAGACTAATGCAGCCTCCCCGCATTAGTGAGCCCCAAGGGTGCTCCTTTTGCCTCGGAGCTGGTTGTGCTGGTGACCCCCATAAAGAGGGGAATGCCCCTCGGTGCAGCAGGGGCAGAAAGGGCAGCTTGAACTGGGTGCCTGAGATGGCTCCCACTCCCTTTCTGCCCATTTTAGATCAGCTGGTGACACTGGTGCCCAGTCTGGAGCATCTCCCCTGCTGGTGGAGGGGAAGGAGGAATGTGTGTGGGTGGGAATTAGCATTCCTGAGAACTAAGGGTCATTTTTATCTTATGCAGAACCTCAGCTCTTCCTTTTCCTTGGCTCTGCCTGCAGCCCGCCAGGCTGCAGCGCCGCCAAGCTCCGAGGCACCATGTGTTTTGCAGCAACCTGCATGGCCGCAGAGCTGGGCATGCCTGGCCCTCGCATGCCCACCAGGAACCGGTCTGCAGAGCAGGCTGAGCTCTGCCTCGTGTTAGATCTGACCTGCCATGGAAAAGCAGCATCTGAAGGATGCAGCTGGCCTGGAGATGGCCCCTCTTGGTTTCAACTTAGCTCTTTGCTAGTCACAGGCTCACGCTGCCCTTCTTTTCCTCTCATTAATATCCTCGGCAAAAGCACCTCTAGGCAGGGTGGACCCATCCTGGTTCAATTTGTCATTCAGATCTTTAGGCATTGAGATTCACTACATAACACTGATACACTCTATTTCTGTTGTTAGAACAAAAATACAATCAATTTTCCTATTTATATTGCCCCAGTTTTCAGAAAATCCTGTTCAATTCAGGCTTACATTTTTCCCGTGTGCTGTCTTCCATCACACACGATATTGCTTTTGATCTCATTTTAGCAAAACCCTGCTCGTACACAGCGTTGATTCTGACCCTGCCTGCGTTCCCTGCATCCTCCTCCTCCCCTGGGCCCAGATATTTGTTCTTTCCCAGCAGAATGTGCTGCGTGTCCTGCCGTTCTGGGAGGCAGAGCCGGTGACTCCCAGGTGCTGCCGCCGGAGTCACGGTGGATTTGCGGCATTAACCTCAGCCTGCCTATTCCTTTGTTTATCTGTAGATTAAAAATGACCCTCAGCTCTCAGGGATGTCCAAGCTCAGTTATAATTGATGTTGGTCGAATGCTTTGAGGCTCCTGAATGACACCAAAGAAAGGTAAAATATGCTGCTTGTGCTGCTAAGGACAGCGAGAAGTACAGATCATCCCCCGGGAAAGCGGTTTCTAATACGGACTTTCTCTACAGAGCACAAGTGCTCCCAGGCTCAGTCTGTGCCTGTCTTCAGGTCTTACTCTTCATTACATTACGCAGAAAGAAAATCTGCTCTGTGGGCAGCAAGGTCAAGGGTAGGTGATGCTGCATTGAGGCTTGATCCTCAGGGTGATCACAGGGTGAAGCTTCCCAGCACCTGGCAGGAGGCGGCTGCAGGTTGGGAGCTGGAGGTCTCGTCCCTGCGTGGCCAGACAGGCCGTCCCCTCTGCACCTTCCTCCTTAGCAGCCCGGGGCCGTGTTTTCCTCCCGTGGCTCCAGACCCATCCCAGCTGCTCAGAGCTGCACGAGGCAGCAGTTGTCTGCACGGCTCTGGAAAGCAGCCCTCAGAGGTGCAGCAGGCATTGGCAAGGCCAGGAGGGCTCTGTTGCTGTGTAGTCAATCAAGTAGCTGCCTTTTGTGCTCAGGCCTCCTGCTGGCCCTGGTGCACAGATGAGGCTGCTCCACTTGTTTTCCTTGGATAATCCCCTGCTGCTAGCTGGAAACTCGGAGGGGAGACAGAGCGGCCACTCTTAGTCAGGCCCTGGAAGCCAAGGGGAGATCTGAGCACTGAGAGGGCGCTGCATGAAGCACTGCCGGCAATTAAATCAAGCCCAAGTCTATAAAACTTCCGCCTGTGCTCTACTGTCTGTCTTGTATAAGAGCAACTGGTTTGTGTTGAGTCTGTAAACAAAGGAATATTTGTGTGGCTGCTGAGAGTCATGGACAGCAGGCTGAGAAAAGGAGCCTTAGAGAGTAATATTTGGTAGAGAATTAATGGAGTCTTGCGTTCTGCTGTAATTAATGGCATCACATGGTTTAATAGCACTTTTTCAGGCTCTGTTGCCCTTTTCTGAACCCTCCTTACACTGACCTGTGCTTCTAGCCCAGCTCTCAGCCCTGAGAGCCCTCTGTTATTCCTCCTTGGAAATATCTGCTCTAACACTTGCTTTTTTGCCCCATTTGCAGTACCACAGCAGTCTGGCTTCTCTGAATGGCCTTGAGGTTCATCTAAGGGAAACTTTGCCCAAAGACCCCTCCTCTTCTGCCAAGACAACATACAGTTTCACTCACTATGACTCCATTCAGAATGTGCTCACAGGTAAGTCTGCGTCTCCCAGAAGAGCAGTCTTTTCAGAAGAGGGATTGGATCTGATAACGGGGTTTGTTGTAACCTTTCCTCACGTTTCACACAATTTTTCTGAAACACTGCCTGTAAGTTAGTATAACTTATCCTTATGGAGTGGCCTGGATAAAGGCCCTGCTGAGAAGGATTTGTCCTGGGTGAGTTTGTAATCTGCTCAAGACAGTTGATCACGGTTGTGTTTGGGTGAGAGCCAGCGGCCGTTTGGAGATGGAGTGTGGGCAGCTGGTGCTTCCGTGGGAAACGTGTTGCCTGGGGTTCTGCTAAGGGCTGTGGCCGAGCGCACGGCGGCACCGGGAACCCCAGGGATCCTCGGCTGCCCTGGGCCTTCCTTTCACCCCTCTGGTCTGTGCACCCGTGGGGAAGGGGACTCCAGGGTTTCTGTTCACACATGGCCGAGCAAAATCCGAACCGCTGACAGATGTCATTGATGTGCCACTGGGATTTAGGGTGTCGCCCGGCCTCTGTTTTCCCACAGTTCCTGAACAGCTGCCGTCCTGAACCCCTTGACAATAGAATGAGGGCAGGCTGCTTTCCAGAGGGCTTTGAACACATGCTCTTTCTTCCTGTTCTGCAGCCAACCTGCCTCACACCCCCGGCCCTATGGATCGGCACTTCCTGAGAGCTGCTACGCTCATCCACGCTGACTTCAGTCACTTTCCAGATGTTTCAGAAATGTTAATTAGGTAAAATCTTTTCTCTTCCAGGCACAAGAGTGTAGAATACCCTGGTGAACAGCAGGGTGGGGAACCCCTTTTCTGAATCTGGGTGAGGTTTGGCGTGTGCGGTGACCACACCGCTGTCTCTTGCCAAGAGCTGTCACGTCACCATCTCCCCTCGTGTTTGCTCTGTAGGCAAGCGCTGCTGGATGGTCTTCCTGTGGGCTGGTAAGGGTGTTGCGAAGCTAGAACGGCACCCGCACAGCTCTGTTGTGCCAAGGGCTTGGATTAAGATATAATGTGTTGCCAGTTCCTGGCACCATAAGGTTCTAAGATGCAGTTTTAAATATAGCTGTTCCTAATAAATTTGTGTCTCGGCTGGGAGCCAAAGGCGCCCACAATTGGCAACCTAGATTTTGTTTTCTTGCACGGCTTGTTGGGTTGGAAACACACTGTAATGTGCGTGGCAAACTCAATTGTGATGCGCCAAGCAAGATGGTCTTATCGCAGCCAGAGCCCTTCCACGCGGCAGCAGCTGAGGCCGATCTCGTGCTGCGGCGCCCGCCCCGTTTCCTGCGTGGTCTCGCGCAGGACGGCGCCTGCGTGCGCAGAGATTCGGCTTGTTTGCCCACTGTGTGGTGAGATAAAGGTGACTCCGGGAAGTAATGTGTTTCACTGCTCTAACACTGCTTGCCAAGGGAGTGTGAATCACATACTTTAATGCTGGAGAGCTCCCTGTTCAGTGTTACATTGACTGGCTCTTTAAATTCAGTACTGGGTAAGCTGACATATTCTGTGTTGCCCCAAAAAAAGCAGCTTCATGTGGGAATCAGACTGAGTAACAAGATGACTAAAACTGCTTTATTTTATGAAGAGTTGTCACAGAGGTTTGTTGGCAAACATATCAGTTCCTGCTTTCCTCTGTCAAGGAGAAATGCAGAGTCCTTTGCTTTGTTGCCTCCCTCTCCACTGAGAGGTAAATACTACGTGGTGGCTTTTAGTAAGTGACTTCAGGCATCTTGGTTACAATATCTCACCAGTGTCTTGGATTCATTGTACAGGAGACTAAATAACCTCGGCCCTTCCTGCTGCAGAGGCGCTCTGCTGGGCCTGGCTTGTGGGCAGCAGCACTGAGTGCTTTCCCTGCAGTGCTTAGGAAGAGGGGATGTTGCATCTGAGGCAGGTTTAGCTCGTGAGGTCCTAGACTGCTCCACAGCCATGGCAGTGCCGGGGGATGGCCGAACTCATAGGTGTTGGTGCTGCTGAGCGGGTCCCACAAGGTGAGGTGCTTGGTGGTTTCCCTGTCAGGATGCCAGGAGTCCTGAGAAAAAACGTCTGCTTCCCTCCTGGGATTCCCTTCTGCCAGGCTGTCTGGCAGTGTGTTGCACAGTTTTGATGCCCATTTTAACTCTGTGTATCTTTGCTCTACTGAGGTAGTCCTAAAAGTCCCTCAAGCTCCTTGGGATGCCAGTGCCACAAAGATGCCCATGCCCAGCCCCTGGGGAGGGCATCAGTGTGTCCTGTGAGTAGAAGGGATCTTGCACAAAGGGATTTCTTGCTGCTGACTGTTCCTTTCTTTGCTGTCCTGCTAGGAACGCTTCCACTGCCGTGTACGCCTGCCGTAATCCCGTCCAGGAGACCTACTTCCAGCAGCTGGGCGCTCCGCTCCGCAACTCCGGTGTTCCCAACCCTCACGACAGCGCGTTCAGCTTGCCAAGCAAGGCCAAGCAAAAGCTGCTGAAGCACGGGGTGAACCTGCTCTGAACTGATGCACTGAGCCAACCTGTCTCAGCCTGTGCTAAAAGTTAGCTCATCTTAGTACGCAAAACCTCCGAGCTATTTATTCTGTTGGAGGCCTTAGGCTCTTTGCCAAGCCTATGGGGTCTCCATTCTGCCTTGCTTGGTGAGGGGACACCCCTATCACCCTGTGCCTGCAGCACGGTTTGTGCTAGTGCAGAGTCCTGTGGATTAGCACTTACCAAAGACTGAAGAGAGAGAACAGCCGTGTTGGGGCACGGGTTCACGTTCGCTGTGTGTGTCCCCGTTCCAGCTGCTCTGCCCTCACAGGCAGAGCCTCCTGCCTTAACCTGAAGTCAAGCCCTTTTCTCTCTCCAAGCCCGCAGGATGCCGGCTTGCAGGGCAGTGTTTGCTCTCAGAGATGTCAGGCAGACGCCTGCCTGGAGTTCTGCGCCTGCCCTGGGCTTCATTTATATCTCTTAATCTACAGAAATGGTGCCTTGCTGCAGCGTAACTCCTTACCTTGAATTAACAGACTAACTGGAAGAGAACGAGTGCTGCAGAACTAATAATCCTCCCGTAGCAGCTCTCAGTAGCTTCTTCTACTCTAGCTGAATCGGGGAGCTCCTTGTCCCTCTGTGCCGTTCAGAGAGTGTGCGGTACCGTCCAGACGGCCAGCCAAGGGCAGGGAGGTGCTGCTCCCGAGGGGCCTCCGCGGTGTTGTCCATGAGCCCAAATGCACTACAGTCCTGCCTGCTCCCTGGCCTTTGCTTCCCCCGCTGCTTCCTCAGGTGGTACTGCTCTCAAGTACCCAGTTTCACCTCCTTGCTCTCTCATTGCTCCATTTGTCTGTGCTCTGTTGACAGAAAAGGCAACTGGGAGCTGCTTAAAGAGACTTTATAGCTCCTCGGTGGCTGTTGTCTCTGTGTCATCAGACAACGCGTCCCCTTTCTTCAGCCCGGGGTGGGGTTGGCACCGAGGGCTGCCCACAGGGGCACGTTTGCCATCTGGCAGTGCTGCGTGTTCCACAGCTGCTGCTGGTGCCAACGCACAGCGCCGCAGTGGAAAAATAAAGCAGAGTCCCCAAGACTCCTCTGTCCAAGGCGAGAGTCCCCCGTGCTGCTTGGTGCTCTGTTTGGGACCCGTTGTGGGAGGTTGGCCTTGGGCAGTGGCACAGCGAGCGGAGCTGCGTGGCAGCTCAGGCTGCTCTGCTTTCCCTGGGGCATCCTGCTGGCTCCTCGCTGGCTGTTTTGGGAAGCGGTTGTCTGCTCTATGAGGAAAAACCAAAAAGTTGAAAGAAAAGCCTGAAAGGGACAGGAGGGAGTTTTGGCACAGCAGCAAAGCACAAAACAGATCATTTTGCCTGCTGTCTGCAGAAATCTCCTGCTGCAATCTGCCATGCCGTCTGTCAGAGTGGAGCTGCTGGGATGGCTTCCTTTTATTTTACTTCTTGAACTACATCTGGTCACCAAGACCAGCTTCAGTGCTGGGAGTATTGAGAAGATTGTTGAGCAGTAGCAGATGTTCTCAAGCCGGGGCTTGGAGCATCCCTTGCAAACGGAGCCCGGGGCGCCCAGAGCCAGGAGCAGGTGCAGAAACCAGGCCGTGGTGCAGCCACCTCAGCAGGTCGGGGCGGCTCGGCCAGATCCTCGGGGCTCTGCTCTACCCCAGGGGAGTTAAACATGCAGGCAGAGCCCGTTCGGTTTTCAGCACGACTGTTTATTGATAATCTTTGCTTATCCACTCTATGAATGATACCAAACTGTAAGACAGTTAACAAGCCAGCCTGCCGCCTCAGATTCCATAGTCAATGTGTAGAAATCATGCATTTCAGGTATTCTGTAACAAGACAGGTGTAAAAAATATTTCAGATGTACTTGAAATCTCTGCCTTATCTTGCAATGTAATCACTGAAAAATCGGTGTAGAAATCCCAGGGCAGGGGCTGGGAGCAGCGCCGGGAAGCGAGCGGCGCAGGGGCCGCAGAGGGGCAGGCCCGGCGGGACCCTCGACGTGCTCTGCTCCTAGGGTGGCACCTCCCCGAGCAGCCCTGCACCCAGAGGACACCTCGAGGCCCTGGGGGACGCCCGGCGGGCAGTCCTTGTGCTGTGGAGGTGAATGTCCCCCGAATGTCCCCTGCCTTTGAAAACCCTCCTATGGCATCAGGGATTCGGGAGCTGCCCCTCTCCAGACGCTCGCTCCGGCTGTAGGAAAAGGAGAGGATCAGGAAGCAGGAGGACGTGTGGCCTCCTCCCTTCAATGTCCTTGTCCACAGGAAAACAAGAGCTGCGCTCTGCATTCCCAAACAGGCTTCCCTGCCACTGCAGGGGCTTCCCAGCCTCCAGTGCTGGAGATGGAAAGTTGCAGGTAAGCGAGGGATGTGGGCAATGGAAGAGCCTTTGGTGGGGTGGCAGCGCAGGGCTGCGGCGGCGCGTCCCTCGGCAGGGCGCTCCCCGGGCTGCCTGCGCTGCTCCGGCTGCAGGGACACCCCGGGAGGCGGCATTTGGGGCTCCTCCAAATGCCTTGTGACTTGTCAAGGCAAAGGGGCCGGGCTGGCGGCGCGGGGTGTCCTGGGTGGCACCGCACACATGCAGCACGGCCCCGTGCACGAGAGCTGCCCTGGGCAGAGCACGGGCCGCCCGAGCATGCCCCGCTGCGCCGCTCGCCTTGCTTGCGCTGTCTGCGCGTGGCCTTTTGATGTCCACGGAAATTTGTACATTATTACATTCAAACATACACCCTTGGATTGGTTAGTCTAAATCTGAACACTGCAAAACACAGTAGCAACATAACATGTACTGCAGTAGTACTGCATCTAACCACAGAGTGAAATAATGCACCGTCATGGTGAGAGGAATCCCTGAAGCGGAGGATGGAGAGAGAGATGGGGACTGAATACAGTTGGAAGTTTCCATTTACAAGGAGCCAGGAGCCCCAGGCTGCCCGTGTGCGAATGCTCTCCGGGAGCCGGCCGCGTGCGTCGGGCACGCAGCGAGGCGCCGTGCTCATCGTCCCGGGGCGAAGATGAAGTCGAGGGCTTGGCGCTCGGCCGCTGCCACGTTGGGGTGCCACAGATCCACCATGAAGACCACGCGGGGACCCTCCTCCGGGGGACCTGCGTGGGACACGATGAGCGCGGTGAGCCCTGAGCGCGCAGCAAGGCGCGGGTGCCGCAGCCCGCGGCAGGGACATGCACGGGCAGCCCCAGGGGGAACGTGCAGCCCCGCGGGACGTGGAGCGGCGCTGCTGCCACGCGCTGCACCGTGCGGGTGCATCCTGCAGACCCGCACCCCTCCGCACAGCCCCGGGCTCGGCCCTCGCTGCGTTTTGCAGCAAGTCCCGTCGTTTCCAGCCCCGGGCAGCCGGCGCGACAGCTCTGTGCTCGTGGTCGGAAGGCAGCTCTGCCTGCAGCCCCAGGACGGGCAATGCAGCGGCTCCGCTGCGCTGCCCCGGCCTCCCCGTGCGCACACCTCGAGATCAGCCGCCTTCCCCAATCCACGGCAGAGTCTACGTGGGAGCTGCAGCTGTTATTCTCCCACTCTCCTCCCGCATTCCCCTGCGGAGAGCAGCTCTGCTTGATGCTTTTACGGCATCAGCAGCTAATGCCGGCTAATCCGGCCGCGGGCAGAGCGCCGAGCTGCCCTTCCCTCCTGCGTCGCTGCGCTCCCGCTGCCCGGGGCTGCAGCCACGGCGCTCGGGGTGCCCCAGCTCTAGGGAACGGGCACCCGGGTGCCCCCGGCCCCGCAGCCATGGGGCTGGCCCCACAGCTGGAGGAGCCGCCGCTGCACTCACCTTCGTGGAACGCCGTGTGCAGGAAGGAGTCGTCGAAGAGCAGGCAGCGGCCCTCGGCCCAGCACTGCGGCTCGCCGCCCACCACCAGCTCGCAGTTGCTGGGGGTCTTCAGACCTTCGGGAGCAAAGAGAGAGGCGCGAGGAGCGTGAGGGCCGCCCCAGCGTCCTGCCCCCCGCTGCCCGAGCGGGTCCGGCCTCCCTGCCGCCCCCGGGGCTGCTGCCGAACCCGCCGGGCCGGGCAGGAGCCCCGGGCTGCCCCGCGAGCCCCAAGCTGGCGCCCTGCGGCCAGCACGAGCACAAGGACGGCGCCTTCCTGCTGCATTTTTCTGGCTTCAGGGCCAGGGGCAGAGGCAGCTGCGCTCTTATCTCTCCCCAGCGCTGCTGCAATCACACTGCAAGGCTGCATTAGCAGCAAAACGCTCCACTGGGACTAGAGAAATGGGCTCCATTCCTGGCTCTGCCACAAGCTCCCTCCTTGACCTTGCATCGCTCGCGGCGCCTGCCTTGTCACTTGGTCACCCACCCGGGACGCCGCATGTGCCGCGCAATTGGGAAGGCTGCAGCAGCCTTGCAGGAGGAGCTGCGAGAGGCTGCGTGGAGGGGGACACCCCGGCAATAACACGGGGCCTTGCCCAGCCAGGCCAGCGCAGCAAGGGCCGATCCCACCGCCCTGCGCATCGGGAACGTCGCCCACAGAGACCGCCGAGACCTGGGGCCCGGGGCATGCCCAGACGGCTGCAGAGGGGTCAAGGCTCCTATGCCAACACTGGAGCCACGAGCTCGGACTGCTCGGCTTTGCCCGCGCCTGCCCCCAGGCAGCCGAGCCCTCGTCGCCATGCAGCAGCCCTGCAGCAGCCTGCACAGCTGCGCTGGGCGGCCAGGGCAGCGCGGAGGCGGCGGCTCGTGGTGCTCAGCGGCTCCCTGCAGAGCCCGCGCCCCGGGGACGCTGTCCCGGCCCTTGGGGATGCTCTATGCAGCGCCTGCACCGATGGCAGGTCCCCTCTGGCCTGTCCAAGCCAGACTGGCTGTCACCTGCACGCAGCTGCGTCCTGTGGGACACCAGCACTGAGAGCGGGCTGCGTGCGCGGCCCCTCGGGCTGTCCTGAGCTCAGCACCGTGTCCTGGCAGGGACACGAGAGGACGAGGGCCAACCCGCACGGCAAGGGCCTGTGCCATGAGTGCTGCAGGCGGAGCAGCATCCTCTTCCCGCGGCGCTGCCACGGGGAGGTCTCGGTCCAAAGCAGCCCCGTGCGCTGCGATTCCCGGAGACGGGCTCTGCCCCCCGCACACGAGCGAACCTCCACATCGCTCAGCACGGAGTGGCCAGCAGCTCCCCGGGCCGAGCGCACGCGCTGGAGCCATCGGGAAGCCCGCGAGTCCTGATAATTAAATGGCAAGTCGAGGCGGGGTGTGTTTACCCGGGCGCAGTTGGCTGAACACTTGCTCGGTGTTTGCCAGCAGGGCCCGTGCGGTTCCTCCCCCGGCGCGAGCCGCGCTGCTTCCAGCGCCGCAGACTCCCGGCCATCTGCGCGCGTGGGCACGGGCGGGCCGGGCGCTCCCGCGGGCGCAGCGGCGCCAGGCGCCCACCGAGCAGCGGCTCCCGCCGAGGGGATGTCCCTGGGGTGGCCCGCGCGCACGGGGACTTTGCACGAAGGCAGCGCGTGGCCCCTCCGAGGCTGCTCCTTGCTCTTTGCACCGCGTGCTTGTGCACCGTGCACATGTGTTGCGAGCAAAGCCCCTCAACCCCGAAGGCGAGTGGGACAAGCACTGGGAGGCAGCTCGGCGTTGCAGCAGCATCCCAGACAGACCCCGTCCCAGGCAGACCCCGTCCCAGTATGGGGATGGCTGCAGAGCCAGGGGGTCGCTCAGGGACCCTGCAGCAAAAGCAGCCCCAGCACGAACCGCTGACTGAGCTGGCACCAGGACAGGGCTCGCAGTGCCCACCAAGGACCCCCGCGGCGCTGCGGCCGGCGCTTACCGAGGTGGCAGCGGATGCGGATGTTGGTGGGGCCGTAGTGCTCCGCGATGACGGTGCCGGGGCTCAGCATGGAGATGCAAGCGTTCCCAAAGACGTTGTTGCCAATGCAGGTGCGAAGGCTGCCGAGCAAGCGGTACGTCCGTGGGCATTTCCTGCAGTTCCTGGGCACGCACATGCCCTGGTTCACCAGGTAAAAGGTAAACCACTCGCCGCTGGGCGTGCTGTTCATTTTCCATCCTTGCGGGAGGCTGCAGTTTGAGAAAGCCTTGTAGAGGGTCTCAAACTCGCACAGGATGGTCTGGAAGTTGCGCTCCAGCAACTCCACGTCGTGCTTTTGAGCGTCCCGCGAGAAGTAGGGCACGGTGGGCAGGTCCGGCAGGAAGAAGACCTCGGGCTTCTGGATGGAGGGGCGGCTGCTCAGGTAGCGGCCCTGCTCGCGGATGCCCTTGTGGATGCGGCCCATGCCGGACCAGGAGTAGCGCTTGGCGTATTCCTGCAGGTTGTGGTAGAGCTTCTGGTTGAGGCCGTCGCTGTGCGCGCAGCGCACGCACTCGGGCGCCTGGCAGTACGCGTAGCCGTTCTGCAGCCCGTTGGCCTCGGCGCCCTGCATGAGCGCGTTGACGGCGGCGCCGTAGGCGCGCGGCTGCTCGCGGCCCACGTGGTAGCAGTACCAGACGAAGAGCAGCAGCAGGCAGGCGACGGCGGCCAGCGCCGTGGCGTCGCAGTCCCGGATCGACTGGATGCCGCTGGCGATGAGGTCCCGCAGCCCGTCCAGGGAGCAGCTCCACTCCGTCAGCCACTCCAGGGACATGGTGGTGCGGCGGCGGCGGCGGGCGGCGCGCGCGGGGCCCCGGCGCTCGCGCCTCGCGGCTCTCAGGGGCACCCACAGCATGCAGGGCCCGCGGCCGCACTAGGTGCCCGGGGGCCGCGCAGCGCCCTGCCCGCCGCGGGGCCCCAACGACGCCCCGGAGCTGCTCATCCTGCGCCGCTGCCGCCGCTCTGTGGGGACAAAGGCAGAGGCGTGAGGGAGCGGGACGGGCACGGACACCCCCGCGCTGCCCACACCGTCCCAAGCAGAGCCCGTGTTGCAGGCACCGCGTCTCGTGCAATGTCCCGTGCAGCGCGGGGGCTGCGCGGGAGCCGGTCCTGCGCCCCTGCAGCCGCACACGCGCGGCCCGAGGCCGGGCTGGCTGGGTGCTCCCTGGGCACACGTGGTGCCTGTCGAGGAAACGCTGCCTTCGCGCCAACCGTGTTGCTGTCCAGGCGCCCTGTGATCCGAGCTCTCCCAGTGCTAATCCCACTAATCCTGTGCCCTGGCTGTGCCCCCTGCAGAGGGGGAGGCTGGAGCAGAAGCCTCCATGCAGGAGGGGCCCAGGGAAGGATGCCCAGGGAAGGGGGCAGTGCCTGGGCAGCTGCTCCATCCTCTCTGTGCGCTGGCTTGGAGCCACTGTGGGGGGGATCTGCTGGAGAAGGTGCCCTCCCGCTGCCCTCCCGCCGGGCCCCTGCAGCTCCTCATAAGCTCCCATTTCCCATCGATTGCAGTGGCGAGGCCCCCCACGTGCCCGAGCAGCGCTGGGCACCGGCAACGGCGCCCTGGCAAGGAGCTCCAGCTCCGAACAGGCAGCAGCAGCAGTGCAAACCAGCGGGATCACTTCAGGCCGGCACCAAAGTTGTGCAGGATGTGGGAGCGAGCGGCAGTGCCAGGCAGCAGCGCGTTACATAATGAAGCCCGAACGCCTCGATGCAGCACAAAGTTCTGGTGCTGCCTCCGAGCAGAGGCGCCCGCCGAGCCGGGGCCAGCGCAGCGGCCTCCCCGCGTGCCCTCGCGCCCGCCCGCGCGCCAGGGCTCTCCGGGACCGGCCCGGCGGGAGCGTGGCACGGAGCCTGCCCGGGTAAGCGAGCGCTGGGGTGAGGCACGAGGCGGCTGTTACTACAGCGCTGGAGCGCGGCCAGCGCGAGGGGCTCCCGCGCGGCGGGATGGCGGTGCCCAGCGCGGCAGCATCACCTGCTGCAGCGCTGCCACCAGCGCTTGGCACCGCGCTGTCACCCCGCGTGGCAGCGTGACCCGGCATGACGGTGTCACCCGCACGGCGGTGTCACCCGCACGGCGGTGTCACCCGGCGCGGTGCTGCCTGCCGCGTTGGTGTCGCGGGGCCGCTGCCGAGCCCCGGGCAGCACCGAGCCCCGATCCGCGCGGGCCCCGCGCCGGGACCCCTTCCCCGCCGCCGCCACCGCCCCACCGCACCGCACCGCACCGAAGCGGGCCGGGCCGGGCCGGGCCTGGCTCCCGCCGCCGCCGCGGTACCGACCTGCGCCCGGGCCGCTCCGCTCCGCTCCGCTCCGCTCGCCGCGGACCACAACTCCCAGCAGCCCGAGCAGGAGGGGCCGCCGCCCCCGCCGCGCTGCAGCCCGAGCCCGAACCGGAGCCCGAACCGGAGCCCGAACCGGAGCCGGGGCGGCCGCCTGCGGGCCCGGGCGAGGCGCCGCCGCCCCGCCCTCCGCTGCGGGCCGGCCCGCCCCGCCGCGCCCCTCGCCGCGGCCTCGGGGCGGCGCTGCGCCCGCCGGCGGGGCGCAGGGCGCTGCGGCTCCCGGCCTGCGGCGGCGCGCGGGAATTCCGGGATCCGGCGAGGCAGGGAACGCTGCCTTGGGAATGCTGCGCGCCGCGGTGCTGAGCCCGGGAGTGCCGGTCCCGGGGGTGCTGGTCCCTGGGTGCTGGTCCCGGGGATGCTGGTCCCGGGGGTTCCGGTCCCTGGGTGCTGGTCCCGGGATGCTGGTCCCGGGATGCTGGTCAGGGGGGTGCTAGTCCTGGAGGTGCTAGTCCCAGGGATGGTGTTCCCGAGAGTGCCGGTCCCAGGGATGCCAGTCCCAGCAGTGCCAGACTCTGGGTGCTGATTCCGGGGTGCTGGTCCTGGGGTGCTGGTCCCGGGGATGCTGGTCCAGGAGGTACCAGTCCTGCAAATTGTGGTCCTAGGGGTGCCAGCAGCCACAGCTGCAGCCCTCGGGGGGCACCCAAAGGTGCTGTACCCAAGGTGCAGGCACCCAAGATGCGGGAGATGCCAGTCCCCGAGCAGGCAGGGATGCAGCAGCCAGGATGAGGATGCAGCAGCCGGGATGAGGGCACCTGTGGAATGCAGGTCTGAGGGCTGGGGGAGCGCTGGTCGGGGGGACAGAAAGGCAAGACCCCTCCCTGGCCCGCAGACACCTCCCGCCCTCCTGGCTTGGAGGGCTGCACCGACTCCAGACACCCGCGGCTGCCTGGATACCTGCGCTCTTCGGAAGGAGCCCGGCGCTCCACACACAGACCGCGGGACTGCATGGAGCAGCCGCTGGCGCCGGGGGTTGCTGTGAGCTGCAGGGGACGAGCGCGGGCGCTGCCACCAGTGCATTTCTGCAGCGGGCAGGTCCTGGTGTTTGGAGGCGACGGCCCGTTCGTGCGGCTCGCTCCATGCACACTCCTCTCTGGCTCATCCAGCCCTCCCAAGGGGCCAGCACAGCCATCTCCCCATATGTTCCCTTTCTAAACTGCTCCTGGATGCTGCCAGGCTTTGACACTACGGAAGAGAGGAGACCAGCGCTGCAGGTTGGCTGTAGAGCAGCTAAAATCTTGATCACTTTGGGCATCCCTTAACAACTCTTAAGCGTTAGCAGAGAGGCAGTTTGCCTTGAGCCTCCCTGCGTGCTTGCTGTTTCCCAGCCTATTCCCCTTTGGCACAGGCGGATGCCGCCAGGCGCAGGGCCCCGGGAGCACCCGTGGGCAGGTGCAGACCTACACCAAAATGTACACCCTGCACCAGCCAGACCTGTTGCCTTTGGTCTCTGCCCTCGCTCAGTGCCGGATGCCCGGCACGGCGCTCTCTGCACGCTCCAGGCTCTATGTGCCGGCTCTGGAGCCGCTTGTCCAGCTGCTGCAGACCTGAGCTGGACCCTGCAGACCCTGGCACCCACAGAGCCCGGCACCCACCACGAGCCTGCAGCACCATTCCAGGCCGGGATGGCCCGGAGCAGCCACGGGCTGCACTGGGCACGGTGCCGCCCCGCCAGGATCCCTGCTGCACTCCAGGGGTATCCTGTTGGACACGGTGCCACCCCGGCAGGATCCCTGCTGCGCTCCAGGGGTATCCTGTTGGGCACGGTGCCACCCCGGCAGGATCCCTGCTGCGCTCCAGGGGTATCCTGTTGGGCACGGTGCTGCCCCGGCAGGATCCCTGGTGCGCTCCAGGGGTATCCTGTTGGGCACGGTGCTGTCCCACCAGGATCCCTGCTGCGCTCCAGGGGTATCCTGTTGGGCACGGTGCTGTCCCACCAGGATCCCTGCTGCGCCGCGGGGGGATCCTCCTGCATGATGTACCACGCACTGGGGAGCCCCGGCCCCGGCGCAGCGCATCCATCGGCTACGTGACCGCGCGGGAGCCGCGGGCAGCGCCGACCCGGCGCCATGGCTGCTGCGCCCGCAGAGCCGAGCGGGAGCCGGGATTGGCTCCTGCTCTGCGTCACCAAGGAGAAACCGGAGCATCGAGGGCTTTTTTTTTTTTTTTTCCCCTTCATTTCTATTCTCTCGTAATCTGAGTCCAAAAATAACGCAAACTCCCTCCCCGGGGAAGCTGCGCTCGAGCCTTGACTCCCTCGCCCTGTGCATTAGCCTGACAGCTGCTAAATGAGGCGCTTATCTCATGCTACATCATAACCTTTCACCAAAGCACAGCAGCAGAGCCTGCAATGGCCTCACGACACTGGGGGGTGCCTGGATGCACCCGAGGTCCCAGGTTCCCTCAGCGAGGTGGCAGGGTGGTGGGGAAGGGTCTTTCCCCCAGTGCAGGACTGGGCATCACTGCCCTCCAGCCCCAGTGCCTGGCAGGTCCCTGGTGTGGCGCCCTGGGGACCTGTTCCTCATGGGAAGGTGAGTCTGGGAGCAAAGCCCTGCAGCTGCAGCTCCACTCCTGCAGGCCCCCGGCAAGCAGCGTGGGGCACGTGCACATCCCTGCATGGGGGTGCTCTATGGGGGTGCTGCACAGGGAGCCTGCATGGGGACCCTCCACGGGGACCCTTCATGAGAACCTGCATGAGAACTTGCATGGGACCTGCATGGGGGTCTGTATGGGACCTGCATGGGGCCTGCATGGGGACCCCGCGGGGCTGGGCAGCAGCAGGGCCGGCTCGCAGCGGGGTTTGCTGCCCCGCTGTGGAGCAATCCTGAATAACCAGCACCGGGAGGAGCTGCTCCCGCTGCCGGAGAGCAGGAAAGCATGGAGGGGTTATCCCGACAGCACTGCACACGTGCTGCACATCTGCTGCAGGCTCCACGAGTGCCAGCCTGGAGCCCGGTGCATGTGCTGCAGGCCAGGCTGCTGGGCTGCGCGGTTCCAAGCCCTGGGAACCTATTCCAGGAAATTAGAGATACAGAGAGGCTTGCACTGAGGTTGCACCGAATGCTAGAGCTTCCCACGGAAGTACTTCATCATGTTCAAAAATATTTAATCCCAGCAATTTTCACATTGTTCTTATAAAAACAGACATGTATGAAGGGAAATGAAATGCTTAGTACATTTTTGGCACACTTTTTTTTTTCTGATTTTTTTCTTCTTTTTCTTTTTTTCTTTAACCTTTACAAATTACAAACACACATTCATTGTTTTAAAGGAAAAAAAGAACTAAGTCTTGACCGTACACTGCAGAGATGCACTAACCATCCCTAGACTAAACCGGGCGCAGGAGGTCGCGGTGCCAGGTGCCCTTGGCCGGCCGCGGCGCGGGCTGTGGCTGCCCCGGCTTCGGGGCCGATTTCCTTCCCGTGCTGCCGCCCTGCGGCTGCTTCTCCTGCAGCCCTCGCCCGGGCCAAGCAGAGAGCTGCAGGATTTTGCTGCCGTGAGGCTGGAGGGCTGCGGCTGCGGAGCAGCAGGCGCCGGCACGGGCCGGGAGCTGCGGGATGCGCCAGACAGAGGCTGCGGGATGCGCGAGCCGGGCGCGCGGGCGCTGGTGCTGCAGGGCGCCTGCATGCACCGTGTGCATGGGGACCCCCTTCCGTGCCGGTGCCCGGTGAGTGCCAGTGCGCTCTTGCAGCCGCAGATGCAGACGTGATGCAGGAGCAGCTCCGCGCTCGCCCTGCTCCTGCAGCCTCCCGTGCTGCTGGGGCTCGCCTCTCCGTGCAGGTCCACGTGCGGCCGCCCGCTCCGGTGCGGGGGGAAAGGAAGCGGCTGGAGCCGGTGCCGCCGCCTCTCTGGACACCGGTGCAGCGCTCCGCGCTCCGGCAGCTTCCCTGAGTCGCTCCCTTGGCCCCAGTGCCCGGGCTGGGAAAAGGTGCTGGGAGCGGCGGGACACCCGGGGCGGGTGCTGCCCCGCGGCCAGCCCTTAGCAATCACTTGCAGGCGCTTGCAACGGAGACGATTTTAATTCTTAACAACATAAAATCTGCAAAAATCCCTGTGCATGTGGGCAGTGCGGGGGGTGCCCGGCCTGGCGCCAGCCTCACCTGCCCCTCTGGCCCCGGCTGCCCCGCGCCGCACACCTCGCGCGATTTAAATAGAATAAATACAGTGAAGAAAACAGTAAAACCTTCGGAAAAGAGGCAAAAGGAAAGACAAGAGGGTCCGGGGTCCAACCAAACTCCACGCAGTCTCTGGGTTAGTTACGGAGGAACGTCTAGAGAGCAGGTTAAGCTCGCAGCCGGCGGCTCCCTCCTCGCTGCCGTTATATGGACACCTCGTATTCCCGCGTTTCCTGGAAATAAAGCAAGCCGTTCTAGGGCTGCAGCTGGGTTGCACCCTCGGTGAAGGAGCAGCTCCGAGCACCTTGCATTGCGCTTGCTCCTGGGCTGTCTTTTCCCTGCTTTTCTCCCCAAAGGTGCTGTGCATTTGCAGCCTGCAGGCCGCGTGCTTGTGTGCTGGTGCCGCTGGGCAGCGGATATCGGAGAACCCAGATAACGGGCACCACCCGGCAGTGCTGCCCTCACCGAGCCCCTTCCCGGCCCGTGCTCGGGGCCAACCTGTCCCAGGGCCGCCACTCACCCCTGTCTCATAGATGGGGTTGTCGAACTCCGTTTCCACCGTGATCTGGCTGTACGGGTGCGAGTACATGAGGGGCAGGCGGAGGCTGGAGTAGTATCTGCACCTGGGCGGGAGATGCCGGCGTCACCAGGGCCGCCCTGGTCCCCTCGCCCCTGTGCCCGTGCCGGCTCCCACCTCGTCACGTAGATGTATGCGCCCCCCAGCAGCAGGGAGATGATGAGCACCGGGATGAAGATGGCTAAGGCCATGTTGCCCCCCTCCAGCGAGGTCTCCGCAGCGGCTTCTGCTACTGGAAGGACAAGGACGGTCCTGCCGGTGCTTGCTGAGCTCCCGCGATGCCCCTGCTTGTCCGCACCGCTCCCCACGGCACCGCGCGCGTTCAGGCTGCCGTGCAGCCTAGCTGGACCCATGTGTGGGTGCTGCAGAGGGGTGCTGCAGAGCCCCACACGAGTGCAAGGGCTGGGGCGTGGGATGGACGGTGCAGAACTCGGCACGGCGTGAGGGCTGAGCCAGCACCGCTGCTGTGGCACGGCATGGCACGGCATGGCACGGCACGGCATGGCACAGCAAAACGCAGTGCAGCATGGTGTGGAATGACATGGGACAGCAAAGCATGGCATGGCACAGCACAACATGGCACAGCTTGGCACGGTGCAGCACAACACAGTGTAACATGGCATGGAGTGGCATGGCACAGCACAACATGGCACGGTATGGTACGGCATGGCATGGCATGGCATGGCACAGGCACCGTGCACTGCTCAGCACTCCAGGCCCTCAGCCGGGCTCTGCACCTCACTCACCTTCCAGCGCGTGCTCGAAACTGTCTTGATTCACTGGAAGAGAAAGAGGGAATGAGCGGGGGCTCCACGGCACCGGCCGCACTCACCCCTGCTCAGCACGGGTTTGCTCTCCTGCCTCTGGCCACACGGGAATGGCCAGGCCTGGGGCATCCCAGCTACAGAGATACATGGATCAGGGGGCATGGGGATGTGTGGACTCAAGGATGCAGAGGACACAGGGATGCAGGGACACAGGGATGTGAGGGCACAGGGATGCGAGGACACGGGGATGTGAGGACACGGTGATGCAGGGATGCCGGCAGGGATGCAGGGATGCGGGGACGTAGGCAGCAGCACCTTTGCACATGGGGAGCGGGCCACTCCAGTGGGAGGGCTGGCCCAGGATGCACTTGATGGTCACCTCCCCCATGAGCTCAAAGCCTTCGTAGCACATGAAGGTGAGCGACTCTCCCGGCAGGTAGAGGCGCTTGTAGAGGATTTGGTAGCCGTTCTCCGGCAGCCCCGGGTTGTCGCAGGCCAGGGACTCCTCGGCTGCAAAGGCAGATGCACCGCGGTGAGCACAAGGAGGGCAACCCTGGACGGGGATCCGTGCAGGAAAAGCAAAGTCCCGGAGCCGCGGGGCTGCGCGGGAGCGACCCCCACTCACAGACGCAGTGCGGGAGCCGCGAGGTCCAGATGGGCGTCCCGGTCTCGCGGCTGTAGCAGGTGAGCAGGGAGCTGCCCTCCAGCACGAAGCCCGGGTTGCACGTGTACTGGATGGTGGTGCCCACGAGCAGCACCGGGTCGGAGATGAGGCGCGTGGAGTGCTCCACCTCGCCGGGGTCCGTGCAGTACATGACTGCGGGGCGGGCAGCGTGAGCAGCGCTCGCGGAGCAGCAGCGGGACGCGCAGGCAGCCGAGCCGCCGCCGTCACTTACTCTTCTCGCAGAAGGGAGGGTCGCTGCTCCAGCTGAGGTCCCACTGGCACGTGAGCGTGTCGCTGCCCACGATGTCGTAGCCCGGGTCGCACTGGTAGGTGATCCTGGCGCCCCGCACCAGCTCCGTGTGCGACGTGGTCTTCCAGCCGTTCTGGATCTCAGGCAGGTCCGAGCAGGAGTCGTTGCGGGAAACCTCTGCGGCCAGGGAGAGACCCAGCACTGTCACCCACGGGGACACGTGGCTCTCCCCCCCGAGCCATCCCGGAGCAGGGACAGCAGCTCAGCAGGCAGCGGTGCCTCCGCTCCGGGCAGGATTTCCCTGGGAAGAGGGAAGTGCAGCAGGGCAGCATCTCCCCAGAGCATCTCCCCAGCTCCTCAGCAAGGCAGGGATTTCTCAATGGGAAACGCCGTGGGAACGGGAAGAGCATCAATGCCCCTCTGCTAATGCCCTGGCTTCCGAAATTGGTGCCTGCAGACAACGCTGGGGCCACACGTTGTCCTCCATGTGCCGACCCATTCGGGGCCCGCTCCCACTTACCCACGTAGTTCATGATGAATCCCTGTCCCTTCCCGAAGACCAGCCCGGCCGGATCCGAGTGGAACTGGATGGTCAGGTCGGGGCTGGAGGAATAGAGCTTCTGGGGGCCGCTGCTGCCCACGAACTGCCCCAGGACGCGGGCGCTGAGCTCGTCCCCGTCATAGATGGTGAGGATGTCACTGTTGGTGATGTTGAGGCTGGAAAGCAGAGGCTGGTCAGGGAGCAGGGCACACAGGGACACGGACGCTGGCGCCTCCTGTGGCATCCCCAGCCCCATCCCAGGGCTCCATCCTGGAGCATCCAGCAGGGATGATCCAAGCACTAGCAGAGCCACTCGCTCTTTGGGGCAGCAGAGCCAATCTGAGCAGTGCGGGGGCAGCCCCCAGCACCAGTCCCTGCGTGGGAAGGAAGGGTGATGCCAGCCCAGCACTTGTGTGCAATCCTTGCAGGATACTTTTCCTTGGGATGCCCCTTTCAGACTGTCTTCTGCCACCCACATGGTTAAACTGCTCTTTGGGGTGTGATCCCCATGGAGCCAGAGGTCTGGCATCAGCGTGGGGGCCTTGCTGAGAAATCTGGGCTGTTGGTGGATGGGGTGTTTGGGAACGCGGCTGGCAGCCTCTCGCCAGCAGAGAGCAGTGGCGGAGCAGGGATGGAGCCAGCGATGTCCCGCGTTCTGCACTGCACTGCACTGCACTGCACTGCACGGGGGGGTCCAGCTGCAGCAGGGCCTGCCGGGCAGCGGGGCAGGGGGCTGAGGGGGCTGCACAGCACGGGGGGGCCGGACAGGCAGCAAGCATTGGGGCTGGAGAACAAGGATTGGGGCTGGAGAACAAGCATTGGGGCTGGAAACAAGGATTGGGGCTGGAAACAGGGATTGGGGCTGGAAACAGGGACTGGGGCTGGAAACAGGGATTTAGGCCTGGAATCCGGGCTTGGGGGCTGCAGCAGCATGTCCCGCGTGGGGCAGCGGGCCGGGGAGCAGGCAGCACAGCGGCTGCGCGGGCGCCGCTCCAGCTGTGCGCACATCTGTGCTGCAGCGGTGCCGGGCTCAGCAGCCTGCCCTGCACGTCGCCCGGCTGCCGAGCCCGGCGCCGAGGCGCCTCAGCTGATCCCCAATGTTTTATTAAGGATGTTCTTGGAAGGCGCCCAGCTAATCCCCTCGGCGAGCTGACATTTGTAGTAAATCTCTGCTTTCTGTCAAACATGATTTTCTCGGTGACATTTATGTTTGATGACTCGGGATCGCATGGCCTGCAGTTCCGCTCAGCCCCAGCCCCCGCCAAGCTGCCGGAGGAGCGCGGGCAGCTCTGCCTTGTGGTTTTACAGAGAGCTTTAAAGCCTTTGTGGCTCTAAGCCCGCACTTGAAATACAGGATGTTCTGGAGAGCCCCGAGCAGCGCGGGGATTGCTCCTCTCCAAATCCGCTGCGTGATCCCACCGGGCGCACGGCCGGCGCTGGGGGATGGAGCCAGAGACCCACCAGCAGCCCCATGTGCAGAGGTGCTGGACACTGTATAGGGAGCGGATAGTGGGAATGGGAAGCAGGGGGATGTGGAGACACCGCGGAGGTGCCGTGCAGCCGGCAGGGCCAGTGCCCGGTCCTACTCACAGCTGGATGTCCAGGAAAAGCCGCTTCTCCTCGCCCACGTGGACCCTCCAGATGCAGTCCTCTCCCTCGGTGTAGGGCTCGGGCCAGTTGGGGGACAGGATCACCCCCGCCACAGCGCTCAGCTCCCCGCCGCACAGGGCTGCACGGGCAGGGCGCACGCGGCTCAGCCTGGCCCCACGGGCCTGCACGAGCCCCGTGTTGCTGCGACCCGAGCTGGTGCTCTGCATCGCCCATGCAATGCCCTGCACCACCCAGTGCAGTGCCATGCACTGCCCTTGTAGCACCCATGCATTGCCCTGCATCACCCATGCAACACCCCGCTTCGCCTGACGCAGCACCCTGCAGCGCGCATCCCGGCGTCGCAGCCGCCCACCTCGGCACAGCGGCTCGGTGTCGTTCCAGTACGGGTCCCGCATGTTGACGCACTCGATGACGGCGGGGCCCTGCTCCAGGGAGTGCCCCGGGTCACAGGTGAACTCCACCGTGGTGCCCAGGTTGTACGTGGGGTCGGAGGTTGTGAAATTCCCGTTCTGGATGTAGGGCTCGTAGCAGTGACCGCGCTCAAAGGCTGTGAGGGGAAGGGGGGGTCAGCGGGATGGGGGGCATCTGAGCCCCGATCCTGGTACCTGCAGCCCCCGCGGCACCCTCAGCACCCACAGAACGGCAGCTCTGCTGCGCTGGGGGCTCCGGGGTGGCAGCCCCTGCCCATGCGCAGCCGCGTGGCACCCAGGCTGCCGCCGTGCGGCCCCTTCCGCGGCGTCTCTTACGGGCAAGTAGGATTAACAGCGGTTTATCTGCCCGGAGCTGTGCAGGCTCAGCCTAACGCCACTCCCGCGTGCCGCCTCCGTAACGCACTTGCTGCTGTGCTGGTATTCACAGGTATTTAAGGAACAATCCTTCCAGAGCCCGGGCTAAGCTTGTGCGGGGAGGGCTTGCATGCAGCTGCACCCCCCGGGCGAGCAGGCAGCACAGGGTGAACCCTGCCTGCGTGCAGCGAGCGCAATAAAGCCGCAGAGCAATGCAACCCCTGCCAAGCAGGCAGGACGCGGGGCTGCCCATACGGAGAGCGTCCCGGGAGCGGCCGCGTCACCTTCGAAGCGGATGTTGAAGGCGGTGGCGGCGGCGGGCTCGGCCGCGGCGAAGTCGATGCGGATGGCGGCGCCGTCGCTGATGATGCCCTCGAAGGGCACGCTGTCGGCGCGCAGCGAGTCGTAGAGCACGGCCGAGCGGTTGGTGCGGCCGCTGTACACCACCATCCTGCGGGAGGGACACGTGCCACGCGCCCCGCACGGCCGCCACCGCGCTCCCCGCACGCACAACGTCACGGGAATTATGCAAAGAAAAATTAGCCGGCCGGATACGTCTCTCTTATCGTGCCATAAACAGGCCTTTATGCTTTGATTTTACTACGAGCCATAAACCTGCTTTACTGCCTCTTGCCAGACTGAATCTTTAATGCAGTTTAAGCACCGGCGCTGGCCCCGTGGATGTGAGCCCTGCGCTGTGGCCGCCCAGAGCTGCGCTCTGCAGCAAGCAGCAGCGAGTGGCGCTGGCCGTGGTGACCCAGGCACCCAGCTGCACCCGAGCCGGGCCGTGCACCCACCTGTCCTTCTCGTCCAGCAGCAGCTTCTCGAAGTGCAGGTGGAGCTTCTGGCCCGGGGGCGCCTCGATGGTCCACGCGCAGGCCATGCCGCCGCTCTGGTTCGCGGGGTAGCTGGGCGACAGCACGCGGCCGATGGTGGCATTGTGCACCGCGCCGCCGCAGGGCGCTGCAACACAGGCAGGGCGCCGTGAGCTGCCGGCGTTGGGCACGCGCGCCCCGCGCCGCGTTCCCGCCGGGAAGGGCGCACGGGAACCGGCAGCGGCTCCGCGGAGCTTCGTGGAGAACCAGTCGCTGCTCTCCTCCTGCCAGCGCTCTGCCCTGCCTGGACCTCTTGCTTGGCTTTGTATGCACGTGTGCCTGCACCTGCGTGCCCGCATCTACGTGCCTGCACCTACATGCCTGCACCTATGTGCTCATGCGTCTTGTAACACCCGTGACTTGTTTCCTCTTAGCTGCCACCAAGCAGAAACTGTTGCCTGCTGCATGCCAACCTGGTGCAACTGCCCCATTGCAGCTCGAGCAGCCCCCAGCACTGCGTTCCCTCTGCCCAGCCTCTTTGCAGCTCCCAGCACAAGGAAATCCCTGCAATTCCTTTTTACCTTGGGGATTCCCATTTTCCCAGCCCGTGTGCCAAGTGAAAACGACTCTACCTGAGCAGATGGGCTCGGGGCTGCTCCAGTGGGGCCTGGAGGCGTTGATACACGTCAGCACCCTGGGACCCTGCAGCTCGTAGCCCAGGTGGCAGTGGAAGTGGGCGATGCCGCCCGAGTGCAAGTCCATGACGGTGACGTCGCCGAAGTCGGGTCTCCGCGGGAAGCTGCAGCTCAGCATGAACACTGCAAGGGCACGGCCACGTCAGGGCGCCGGGCAGCGCCTCGCGCCACGCGGCCGCTCCGCAGCCAGCCGCTTCTCGCCAGCGCCCCGGTTGCTACTCCAGACAAAGAATTATCTGGCAGTCATTTATTCTCGATAGCTTTGCAAGATGGAAAGGAGTGTTTTCAGGAGTCAGGGCAGGAGGAGCTGCCTCCCGGCAAGGGATGCAGAGCAGCGCGGGTGCCAGGGCTGCGGCAGCACTGCAGCGGAGCCCGTCCCCCTCCGTCCGCATGCAGCACCTACCCTGGTAGTGCAGCTGGAAGGTGCCCGGCGCCTCGTCCGGGAAGGTGCGGAAGTAGACGGAGATGGTGTTGGTGGGGCTGCGGATGACCTGGCCCTCCACCAGCAGCGTCTGGTTGGCGAGCAGCACCAGCGCGCCCGCGTCCACGCCGCGGATGGAGAGCACCTCGCCCTCCGACAGGTTCACGCTCTTCACCTGGGGCCGAGGGCGAAAGCGTGAGCCACCGCGGAGCGGGGAGCACCGGCGCAGCGGGCGCGCGACGCGCACGAAACGCCGCCGCGAGCGGTGCCGGGCTGCGCCGGGGCTGCCCAGAGCCCGCGCGCTCCTGCCTGCAGGAATAGCGCGGGGAAAGAGGAGCATCCCCACTTCTTCTTGGATGAGGCAGCTGAGCAAGGAAAACTGAGGCAGGGAGACGCTAAACCTGAGCGCAGGGGCACTCCACAGCCCCACGCTCAGTCCCAGGCTTGCTGCCCGGCGTTTCCTCTCCTCCCGCGTCCCCACAGCCCCTGGCCAGCCTGGCAGCAAAACCCCCGCGGGGGCCCGGGCTCAGCCAGGGGCTCCCGGCTCTGCACCCACAGCTGGGGGTTTCTGCAGGCGCCCGTCACACCAGGCGCCTTCCCCGGGATCCCTCCTGGCCACAGGGGACCTGAGGGCACTCCAACGGCAAATGCATCTAATTTGGTCACAAAAGGCTCTAATTATTATTTGGAAAGTAGCTGGGAAGTAACCTCGCATTTGCATTTCACGTCCATTTAGCGTAATAAATAGGCTGATATTCCAGCAGAAAGGCACTCATCAGATCACTTGTTTCCTTAAGTGCATGAAGACCAGGGCGCTATATTTAGCGCACGCCAGAGCGCTGCCTGCAACGGGCGGCGCTGCGGCGAGGAGGGCTCGGGGCTGCCGACATGAACCTTGCAGGGGAAACCTCCTGAAGGGAGCCGCATCCCTTGCCAAGAGAAGTCAAGGTTTTTCAAAAATAAGAACAAATTAATGAAATGCTTTTAGAGCCACCAGGCTGGCAAGCAGCTGCCAAGCGAGGGCCCCGTGGCCAAGAGGTGTCGGTGGGACCCGAGCACTTCCCAAGGCAGGTCCTGGGCCAGGGCTGGGGACGCAAGAGCAGCTTCTCTATAGAAGGATGGAAAAATCCTTGCGTGCAGCGCTATCTCCTCTGCTGGGCTCATCACTGTGTATCGTACATGACATCTCATGCGCAGACTAAAGAGAGGAAATAAATCCACGGTGTCTCGCTTGCCAGAGATGCTATTCCTAACTTCCCGGGGACATAAATCTTGCCACTGCTGCTGTCGTCTGCGTGGTTAAAAGCTTTCTCCGGAGCCCGCGGCGGCCGGCAGCGGGGCGGCCCTTCTCGCCGTTCCCGGTCGGATACGGCAGCGCCGGGCGCGGAGCCGGCAGCGCCGTGTCCCCCCACGCCACACGCTGCGCCTCCAGCCGTGCCCCCCGGCCGTCCTGCAGCTCCGGCCGCGCCAGCCCAGCGTGTGCCTGCGGGCCGGAGGCCTTCCCGCTGCCCGCTGCCCTCCCCAGCCTGGGGAGCGCCGACGCGGCGCAACACGAAGCGCACGCGGGCGCAGGCTCATTTTACGCTCCATTAAGAGCCTGGCTTATAGCAGAGCCAGGTCAGGCAAGTTCACAGTGGAGCCGCTTGTCTTCAGCACCCTGTGGGTTTGGGGCGGCAGCGGAGCTGCCCTGCAGAAGTGCCCAGGATGTGAAATCGGCAGCACTGGCGCCACTGCCGCCGCCTCGCTCCGCTTCCCAGGAAGCCTCCCCGTGCCCCGTGGTGCCACCAAGGCCGGCCTGGGCCACGGGCCGTCCCCGCGGGTGCCCAGAGCTACTGCAGCCACCACTGTGCTAATGTGCACTCTTAACTGCACAGATTAACCGTTAGTGGGTTTTAATTGGATGCAAAATGCGGCGTGGGGACAACTGGAGAGCAGAGGAGGGCTCCAGTGCCTGGAGTGGGGCAGCGAGCTGAGCGGGCTGGAAGCATTGGGGGCTGGTCAGGGACCAGCTCTGCCTTTTGCAGCCCCGTGCTCGCCCCCGGGATCAGTTCCTGCCTCCCGGAGCAGCTCCGCTCCGAGCGCGGGACCCACCTGCAGCTCCACCCCGTAGCCCGTGTAGACGGTGACGTTGTAGGTGCACTCCAGGAAGCTGTGGCGCGGCAGCGGCGGGTAGTCGGTGGAGTCGATGTAGCCCTCGGGCTCGTAGAAGCTCATGCTGCAGACAACTGGGGGCAAAGCCTGTGTCGGCCGCGGCTGGGCACCCACCGCGCAGCCCCCCGCTCCTTCCCAGCCCTCCTGGCATCAAGGGAGGGATCCAGCCTTTCCCTCGGATCTGCAGGGTGCCTTCTGCAGCTCCACCAGGGAAAATCCTGGCAGGAGCAAGGGAAGGAGCTGGGCAACCGCGCGGATGTGTCCCATGGCACACACTGTGACCTGGGCATGCTCCAAAACCTGCTCCCTTCCCAGGCAGCTTTCGGGAAGCCCAATGGTGAGACAGGCACTACTTCCAGCATCCGCCCTTCCCGGGCGTCCCGGGAGGCTCCCGGCGGGGCCCTACCTGGGCTGGGCTCGCTGGTGGTCACCGTGGTGGTCACGATGGTGGACGTGGTGGTCTCCTGGCCCTCGTCCCACGCGGAGCCGCGGCTGCCGCTCCCGGTGCCACTGGTCACGCTGGGCGCAGCGCTGCTGGGGGCGGCGGGGGCCGGCGCGGCCGGGGCGCCCCGCGGCTCCGCGGCGCTGGGGGCGGCCGTGCCCGCGGGGCCGGGGTCCCCCTGCGGCGGCGCGGCCGGGGTGCCCGCTGCGGCGCGCGGCTCGGCCGGCGGCCCCGGGCTGGCCCGCGTGCCGGCCCCTGCCGGCGCCGTGGCCTTGGGCCGCGGGTGCCTCCTCCACGCCGGGACTTGCTTCCCGGCCGGCGCCTTCCTCCTCCCGGGCGCCGTGGGTTTGGCGTCGGCCGGCGCCGGCGGGACGCGGCTGCGCGCGGGCTCTGCCGGCACGGGGACGGCGTTGGTGGTGCCGGCCGGCGGGAGCTGCGGGGCCGCGCCGGGCGCCGGGGCCACGCTGCCCGCAGGAGCGTCCGCGGCGGCGCCGCCGGAGCGCGCAGGGCCCGGCGCCGCCTCCAGGCTGCCATCTGCAAGGGGAAGGGAACACTGGGGCCGGCGGGCACGGCGCTGCCGTGCAGCCACGCGGGCCAGGCTGTGCCCGGCGGTGCCGCATCCCCGCGCTCTGCCCGTTCGCCGCGCGCAGCAGCTGCACCCTGGTGCTCCCTGGCACTGCCTGCACCGCGCGCACAGCAGCTCCGCAACGCGGAACGCTCCCGCATTTTCACTTCCCATCTGCGGGTGTCCCGGGGCTGCAACCCAAGGGGTGAAATCAGCCCTAGCTGCCAGGGCCACTCCATAAACCACTGTGTAAAGTGCAAGAGAAGAGAAGCAGGGAGGTTTTCCATGGAAACCGCAGTTGCTAGGGAAGGCACTCAATATGCTTTACTTAAAGACTGAGATTCCAGATGCCTCCTTCCCCCAAGCACTCCGGGGTCTGTGGAAGGCAGTGGGACCGGATGCAGCAGGGCTGGATGCAGCGGGGCTGGATGCAGTCAGATCCAGCAGGGAAGGATGCGAAAAGGAAGGATGCAGCAGAGCTGGATGCCATGAGGTCAGATGCGGCGGGGTTGCATGCAGCGGGGATGGATGCAGCAGGGATGGATGCAAGCTGCCTCTCTTGCCACCAAGCACATTTCATGCAGCACCACGCCATGGGCCATGCCGTCCAAGCCGCCCACCCGCTCTGCACCTGCAGCCTCTTTCCAGGACCGAGCTCCAGGAGAGAGCAGTTGCCCTCTGCCTGCCCCGGTGCCCCATCGCCATGAACACTGCAGAGCCACCAAAGCAAACCTCAGCTCATTTTGCAGCTTGACTCGACTTCAAGCTTTCCATGTGCTGCTAATTGTAGCTAGGCTGGGATGAAAAGGAAATAAGGGAACTTTTTGATGTGCAAAGTGCCATGCGGGCCAGGTTGAGGTTATTCTCATGAGTGAGCACAGCTCCCCACAGAGTTTAACCTACCCTGTGATTTTTGTGCCTTTGAGCATTTGCTTTGCTGTTTTATCCTAAGTTTTGCCATTATCAACAGCAAAAGGAAATAAGTGGCCGATAGCAACCTGCTTCCCACTCAAGCCCTGCTCCTTTGCAAGCCAGATGTTCTCCACCGCTGGGTAAATGTGCAATGCTCGTGCATTGCACCGGGCTGCCGACACGGGCCGGCCATCGGGATGGCAGGAAGGAGCCTCCCACGAGGCCGGAGCCGCCTCGGCAGTGGCTGCTTTATCTCCTTAGCCGTAAGCACTAAACCCTAATCTCGTTGCAGCTAATTACATGAGCACCAGGGCAGGATCAGGAGCTCATCCGCGAGCACGCGAGCACCAGGGAGGTTGGTAAGGCAGGATCCGCTGGGCAGGAAGGGCCGGGCGGGAGGTGCCCTGGCTGGCAATGGGGGCTGCATCCGGAGCTGCGCCATTCCAGAGGGTGGGATCGCTGGGATGCACTGTAACAAGTCCCGGCATTGCTGGGATGTGCTGCGCCGGGACACAGCATCACCAGGACGTGTTGTGCCATGCTGCCAGCTGGGAAAGCAGGGAAATGCCGTCACCGTCCCCTCGCGGCAGCCCCAAGCAGCGGGGCTCTGCCCTCTCCTGTTACGCTTTCCACACAACTTAAAAAATTAATTCCTTAATTAGCAGCGGCTCGGTAAGTTCATTAGCCGATTCCCCTCGCACATTAGGAGACATTTCACCCACATCGCCTGCAGCCATCGACACTGCGCAGCCCCTGGCAGCTCCTTGCCATGTGCTGTGATCGTTCCTTGCGGGAATACCCAGTGCCTCCCTTACTCCTTGTGGGAATACCGTGCTCCCGAACCTGCCCCTGGCACGGCTGGCAGGGCCACCCAGTGCAGCCAGTGCAGGAATGGCAGAGACGGCAGCAGCAGCAGTGTCCGGCTCTGCCCGCGCTGCTGTTTGCAGAGGGACAGGGGGTGTTTGACCCTAGATCTGCTAAACTGGCTCTGGATAAAGGGAATGTTGTTGGGATGCACAAGCTTTGTATCATGTCACTTCATCAGGAGTGAGCACGGCATGGAGAGGGCAATGGAGGAAAAGGATGGATATGAGGATTGGGCAGAGTATGAGGATGCGGATGAGGATGGGGAAGGGTACAGGAGTAGATGGCACAGTGCAAGAGCAAATATTAATGATGTCTCTCCCAGACACTAACTTTAAGTCAGCCCTCACACATCAGAGACATGAAAATTGCAGCTTCTGGAACTCAAAACTGCAGACAGAATATATCAATTAACATTGTGTTATGGATTAAATAACCGATTAACTGTGTTAAGCAACAGAAAATACTTTGATGCATGGTGTGCTTGGGCAGCCCTTGCACCCAGCTCGGCTCCCCGCGGCCCTGGCCACGCATGGGGCACAGGTCCCGTGTGCACGGGCACCGCTCTGCACCATCACCTCCCGCGCACGTGTCCCGCTCCAAGGGCCTCCAAGCAGGCGGCAACACAAGGATCCCTTGGTAATTAGCGGCGCTTTTCAATTAAGCTGTGGACAAAGAGCCCGTTTCATGCCGGGAAGCCTTTGAGGAGCAGCCAGGGGATGGGAGCAGCGCATTCAAAGCGCTGGCAGCAGGAGCCCCCAGGCTGTCCCACACTGCTGCTATGGCAGGGGCGATGCTAGAGCATCCGTGGGGCTGCGGGTGGGTGGCAGCAGGGCTGGAGGCACCAGTGCTGCAGGGTGCATGCATGCAGGAGCCCAGCATGTTCCCGTGCCGCTCCAAGTGCCCGGATCAGCCGGCACAGCTAGATGGGTTTGAAAGAATCAGAGAAAGCAGGACTGCAAATGCCTGATAAAAGGGTGCTGATCTAATCACAGAGCGGCGGGTTTGCCGCTGCGCTCCCGCAGGAGCTGACCCGCGAGCAGCTGTACTGCCGGGATCCCATTTCTAATGCCGATGCTATCGAGCGCTCGCTACGAGGACACGCTCGCGGGCTGCGTGGGACCGCGCTGGCATTGCCCGGCCTGGCAGCCACCACCCCAATGCGCTTCATGATCTGACTGCAGCAAAGCGAGGGTGCCGGTAATGACCGTGCTCAGAGCCCACGCGCGGCCGGGCACCCTGGCGGCTCCCGCTCCACGGAGCCGCTCCTGCCGGGAAGCTCCCGCCGGCACACACGGGCTCCGGGGGCTGGTTCCTTTAAGGCTGGGCAGCAGCTGGGGCTGCTCTGCTATAAAGACGGGCCCAGGTGCCAGGCCTGGGTTTGGCCTTGGGGCTCCCTGCAAGCACCCGTTGTCAGGGCTGGCCTTGCTCCCTAGAGGGATGCCTGAAGCGTAAGGTAGGTGACCAAGGCAAGAGCCACCAGAGCAACACGTGTGCTGCAAGGAACCCGGCCAGGACGCCTTTGGGCTTGCTAGAGCCTGCTGCTCGCAGGAGCACTTGCTTTCTGGCTGTGGTGCTGCTTTTGTGTGTGCGTTTCCCTGCCCTGAGAGGGCAGCGGGCTCAGAACCGGCCCCATGAGGACTGGGGCCAGCTCCAAATAGGCCTGAGAAGCTCTTGCAGCTGGGCAGCAAGAACAGAGCTTGTGCATGAAGCGGGCCTCTGAAAACCTGCACGCTGGGTCTGTCCGGGTCCTCTGCAAGGGGGACGTCTTGCTTTGGCTTCAGCATTTGAAATGTTTTCACCTTTAAATCTTGGAGAGGGGAAAACAACTGAATCAAAAAAACAACCCCAGCTTTTCCCTTTCAAAATGCCAAAGCAGAATAATGCCGCCTACATGCTTTAAATGTCTTCCGGAGAGGAAATTTGGAACCTGCTCTTTCCTGCAGCTACAATTGCAGCAAATTGAGATTTTTCTAATGGAAAAAAAAGTTTCCTCCTGAGCATCCTGACAGCTCAGCTTATAAGCAAATAAAATAGTAGCATCTAATCAGCACTGAGTCACACGTGTGGGAGCGCGGAGCAGCGCGGCTGCCCGCTGCATGTGGCGCTTTGGCTCCCGCTCGCGCGCGGAGGCTCTTTGTGCTGCCCGCAGCCGCTGAGGGCGGCGCAGGAAGCCTCGGAGCTGGGTGCCAGCCCAACGCTAGTGCTGCAATCAGGGAAAATGGAAAATAATTCCCCTACAGCTTGGTTTGCAGCCAAGGAAGGATCCGCAGCGCAGCCTGGTGCTGGAATGGGCGGTGTGGAGCTGGGGAAGCAAAGCTGCTCTAAGCGGCGCTGTGGCCGGGCGCTCGTGCCCTGGTTAAGGCCATGCACAAGGAAGCACCATCTCTCCACACCGTTACTGCAGCTATTTGTGTTGCAGTGTGGCTTGCAGCGTGCCTGCCTGTGCAGGACGGGTCCCAGGCCCTGCTGAGGGGGCATGTTGTGGAAGTGCACGGAGGGACGTGCAGGAAGATGCACACGTATTCCTGCACAGCCTGCGCCCATGGTGAGGAGCTGCTGCATGAGGAGGTGAGGCCTCCTGCACCCTCCTGGGTGCAAAAGCCCCTGCCCACCTGCAGCGCTGCTCCTAGCCGGGGTTGGAGGCAGCTTCACGGGAGCTTTGGGGGTGCATTTGCTAACGCCACAGACACTTGTGCAGCCCTGGGGAATTCCTGCACGGCATTAATGTGCTGTTAAATTGGCCCTGCACAGGGCTTTATTTATGCTCACAGGACTGGACTGAATATTTTATATTAAAATCTACATCTGTGTCATTAAATAAGGTTGCCATAGAAACCCCTAATGCTGGGTGAAGATGCTGCCAGCACCCTCAGAGGCTGCTGAGGGGCCCAGACCTTTGCAAGGCCATGGGTGACTGCCCAGGAAGGATGCACCTTCCTCCTCACCTGCCCCTGGGAGGAAAATGGGTGTTCTGGCTACTTTGGGGTTACAGATGGAACCTCTTCCTTCTGTTCCTGTGGTTTCCTACAGCCAGTACTGTCTGGGCACTACCTGGACACTGATAACCTGCCACTGGGCAGCAGGGAACAGCTAGGAGATATCCAGCCCCAAACATCCAGAAAGGAAAAGGTTAAGCATGACTACAGGGGATGACTGTCTCTCTGCCTGGCTATAAATCATTCAGCCGCCT